CTCTCTCTCTCTCTCTCTCTCTCTCTCTCTCTCTCTCTCTCTCTCTCCGTCTCTCTCTCTCTCTCTCACCTAGGGACAATTTAGAGTTACCAATCAGCTTATAGTAACATGCATGTTTTTGGTCTGTGGGAGGAAACTGGAGTGTGCACAGAGAGAACATGCTCCATTATATCATTTCTTTAAAATGTTTTTCCAATTGTTATATTTTGAACTTGTCAATGCGAAATTGGATAATTTTATTAAAATAATTTATTTATTATTTAATATTATTTTTGTATCAATTTATTGTAATATTGTTTTGACAATAATAATACAATTTATAATTATAATAGTTTTTTCATGAAAGTAAGATACAGTAATTAAAAACAGTAATTCAAAATTATACAATTTATAACATAGTTCTAATAGCTCAGTGATAATGCATTTTTAAAACAATACATCTTAGCAATACTGTATTATTATGTATAAAATATAAAAATTAATTGTGTAAAATCAAAGTATCAATTTGGCGAGCAGCCTTTAAAAAGTTATCTGACTCTTTAGGATTCAAACAAAAAGTTTTTTTTAATCTTCCTTCTGCTGCTTTAAAAAGACAGATTCAGCTTTCTTAGTGGAAAAAGTGCTGTTTTATTTATGATATATAAATATGAAAAGCACAATGCACGAGCCAGTTTGGACTCTGTATGCTGTAGGTGTCGGTATAGCTGAAGAAACTCACCCAGACTGGATCCAATAAACCAGGAACTTTGACTCTGGGGAAACCAGAACATCCCAGTTCAGGCCTCATTGCTCCATTGACAGTCATTCTAACCCATTAGTGAAGGAATAATTAGTTGGCAGAGATGGTTTTGTAAGATCAAACTTGTACACACATATTTAACTCCTGAAGAGTGTGTTGGTGTTTGAGCTTCTCTCTTTGGACTATCTTTTCTCAACAACCGTTCACATCACAATGTTTCTCACTGTGCAGCAGTTTTTGTTCCTGTTACCATAGTTACTAGTTATTTTGTACTGCACATGCTTTGAGCGGTCAATCAATCCAATAATCAGCGATCTAATCATCTCGTTATCACCAGCCTTCATCATGCAGATCAAACCGTACGTACTGTGAAGCTGCACTGTAAAAAGCTTTCTCTCT